TTATGTTGACATTTCCTGGGTACTTTTTTTGACTAGTGGATGCATGGCAGTAAATATTGGGACTGAAAAAATTTGATCCTAGTCTTCTCTGTAGCTGATTCTTTGTATTACCCAGTAGAACAATCATATAACCTCTGTCTGCATCAGTTTCCTAGAATTGTGAGCCTCTAAAGCAAAGAGCATGGTGTTTGTAAGCCCTGCAGCATATAGTTTCCAGTTTTGTTAGATGCAATCTGAGATCCCTAAACTACTGATGCCTCCCACATACACACCGACCACATTTTATTGCCATATATGTATGTGCAATATATTACACACACACACACACACACACACACACACACACTATACTAGTGGCCTGGTGCACGAAATTCGTGCATTGGAGGGGGGTTGTCTCTCAGCCCGGCTTGCTCCCTCTCCAATTTGGGACCCCTTGGAGGATGCTCGACTGCCGGTTTAGGACCGATCCCATAGGGGCAGTGGAACATCCTCTCATAATCTGGGACCACTGGCTGCTAACCGCTCACCTGCCTGTCTGATTGCCCATAACACTCTGCCTGCTGGCCTGCTTGCCTCCAACTTCCCCCTGTTGCCAGCCTGCTCTCCCCCAACTGCACCCCCTTCTGCTAGCCTCTCAACCCCAATTGCCCCCACCCTGCTGGCCTGCTCACCCCCAACTGTCCTCCCTGCTGGTCTGCTTTTCCCCAGCTTGCCCCCTCCCCCACCATGCTGGCCTGATAACCCCCAACTGACCTCCCCTCCTGGCCTGATCACTCCTAACTGCCTCTGCCTTGGTCCCGCCACCATTGCTTTGTCTGGGAGGTCTCCTGGTATAATTGGCATATTACCCTTTTATTAGGACAGATAGAGGCCTGGTGCTTGGGTAGGGGGCTGGCTGGTCTGCCCCAAAGGGGGTTCTGGATCGTGGTGGGGTCCTTGGGGGTCGGGGCCATCCTGGGCAAAGGGCTTAGGGCGGTTTGCAGGCCGACCATGCCCCATCAGGGTGGGGGTCCTCACGGGGGCAGTGCTGGCCTGGGCAAGGGAGTGGGGTGGTTTGCAGGCTGGCCACGCCCCCATCAGGGTGAGGGTCCCCCCTGAGGAGTATGGCTGGACTGGGTGAGGGGCTGCTGGCCATTTGCAGGCTGGCCACGCCCTCACTGGGTGAGGGCCCTGTGTGGGGCATAGCCGGCCTGGGAGAAGGACTGGGGGCTCTATGGGGGAGGTTTGTCCGGAAGGACTTCCTGAAGATCTCCCAGTCTAATTAGCATATTACTCTTCATTAGTACAGAAGATATTAGGCATGCAGTTTATAATATTTATATGTAAAAATAAAGTATTGCTGAAACCAATCTGGCTCAGTGGATAGAACGTTGGTCTGTGGATAGGAAGGTCCCAGGTTTGATTCCGGTCAAGGGCATGTACATTGGTTGTGGGCACATTTCCCAGTAGGGGGTGTGCAAGAGGCAGTTGGTCGATATTTCTCTTTCATCAATATTTCTAGCTCTCTATCCCTTTCCCTTCCTCTCTGTAAAAATCAATAAAATATATTAAAAAAGTATTGAAGATAACGTTTATCAGTCATTAGGATTTTTTTTTCCTGATGATTACCAGACAACAGTTTGCTCTTCAAAACCAATAGAATAAATGTTCTTAAGTGTTCTATAGGGCTCTTACCTGTAATGTCTTGATACTTTCAAACAACTAGTTTGTACCACACTCCTCTTACTTCCTCAAAATACTTTCTCCTATTGTTTATTTTTCCTGGTTTTAATCTCCAAATTGTTTAATCTTCTAACTCTACTGATCTTTTCATTGCTGACTTTCCTTCTGCTGTATTCTAATTTTTAGAAATTATCTGAGCTTATTAATATCTTCCTTCTTACAAAATGATCCTTCTGCATTGGTGATGTCATTAAGTTATTTTCCCCATCCCATCTAACAACCACACACCTGTGCACTTGCACCCAGCCAGTTTTTGGTAGTGGTCTCTTGTAGAAATGACACATTATTTCACATCAGTACTTCTTTTCAGATCTTATACCTCTTTTTCCCCCCTCCTAATTGCGATGTACAACTTTAGTTTGGTGTAATGTACATGTATACCTTATTCCTAAATGTTATTTGCCAAAAAAGTGTAATGACCTACATTAAAGACTATTATATATAACTAGAGGCCCGGTGCATGAAATTTGTGCACATGGAGGGGGGGGGGAGGGTTGTCCCTCAGCCTAGCCTGCACCCTCTCTAATCCGGGACTGCTGGCTCCTAACCACTCATCTGCCTGTCTGCCTGATTGCCCCTAACCACTCTGTCTGCCAGTCCAATAACCCCCTAGTCGCTCCCCTGCCAGCGTGATCGTCCCCAACTGCCTTCCACTGTGGGGCTGAGGGGACTGGGAGACTGAGGCTGGATGAGGTGGGGCTGAGGAGACTGGGGGACTCTAACTGGATGAGGCATGTGGTGCTTCCCCCCCCGCCCCCCAACAGGGCTGAGGGGAATGGGGAACTGAGGCTGGATGAGGGGGTTGCTGAGGGGACTGGGTGCCACTATCTTGTGGGCCCCCCATTTTGTGAGGGTGTGGTAGTCAATTAGCATATTCCTTCTTATTGGCTGTGGGTGCTACCATCTTGTGAGGGTGTGATGGTCAATTAGGATATTCCCTCCTTATTAGATAGGGTGTGTATAGTCCTATCATTGAATATAAGATATCTCTAATTATAAGGTATATCTCCATTTTACAGACTTATTTATGCAAATAAATAAGAAAAAAATTATTTTAAGATAATATCAATTATAAGATCTATTGCTATTTCATACATGTTAAAATATGAAGAAGAGTGTAACAGGGTCAATGAGATGTGGCATGTAAGTAGATACTGTTTTTAGTCTTAATTTGTTTTGTTAAAATTTTTATGTATTCTTGTTTGCTTGATAAACTTTTCAAATTTTTTTACTTTCATAGTTTTGTGAGCTGTTTCTAAGTTACTTTTCAATTCATTGCAAATATGGTGCCAATTAAGAAATTATTTTTTCTTGGTCTAATTCTTTTAATTGTTTAATGTCTTCATGATCACATAACTTGATTAGCTCTACTTTCAAATTCCCACCATTGCACAAAGATTCATCATCATTTGAATATTTGAGATGGGAACTTTTTTTTTTTTTTTTTTCCTCTTTCCAAAAAGAGCAAGCTGTATTGGAAATTTCTCAACACTTCTCCTGCCACACAGAATTACATATTAGCTCTATGCATAACTAACTTTCTAGTAGGATATATCATGGTGGAATATAGTCCTCTGAACCTGTCTTGTCAGTTCATTTTTTACAGACTTTTCCTCGCATCATATACTTAAAAAAATTATTTTAAAATTCTAGTTGACATACGATATTTTATTAGCCTCAAATACATTTTTGAAACGGGTTTATTTTGCTTTAGCTTCTGTTTTTTTTCCTTCTTCTCTAGAACTAACTAAAAACATAAAAATTATTTTTCCCAGCCCCCTATTACTTCACATTCTCATTCTCTCTAGGAGAATGACTTACAAATCACATTTTGAGAGAATATACATGTTGAGGTGGGGTTGAGTGCCATAAGTTAGGGTGTGTTAGTATTTTGCATACCTTAAAACACTCAGTTGGGAGAAATGTCTCTATTTTTTTATTTGAAGGAAGATAAACTCCATGTATCCTTGAGGCCTACAACATTCAATAATCTGTTAAATTTGAATTGCCTTTTCCAGGATTGGAGGGGTGTGTGTGTGTGAGGAGGGGAGGGAAGAGCAGAGAGGTGAAGGGGGTGTTCAGGAAACCAGAAAAATAAAAGGAATTATAAAAATGGGTTTTTCTACAAGCCATATGTAAATATGTAAAATAATAATGCTTTGTTTATAAATGTTAATTTAATTTTTAATGTAATAGATTCTTCAGGAAGTACTATATGCTAGTCTTTCCTCATAGATGATACCGAAATGTAATTAAACTAGTTGAAATTATTATAAAAAACTCTTGGGGTTTATAGATTTTAGGGAGGAAGATCTATGAACTCCTGAACTTGTTTGTAAATTTGGGCATTGGTACAGTTTTTTTGTTTGTTTGGTAGGGAGAGGATCCATAGCTTTCAGCAAAATCTCAACTCCAAAGAAATTAATTCACTTATGAAGAGGTCAGCACTATTTCTCTTTAATCTGCTTTCCATAGTGATCTTGAGTATAAATCACGAACCCTCAGAGTATTTTGAAAATCAAAACAAAGAAAATTTGATCTTGAGTTGTTTACTTTGAAAATGGTGGTGGTGTTCAGGTGGCATATTTAAAATAATAATACTGCACACGAACAACCCTAGGAATTCACTTGTAGGAAATAGTGAGTATAAATGAAGTTGCTATTATATGCACAGAAAAAGGCATTAGAAAACTGTGGATCCATATATGTTGAAAAAAATTTGAAGGATTAGAAATATATTCTTATTTTGAACATAGTACTTTCATAATTGTGACTTAAATCATTTTTTTAAAGTGAAGTATATGTATTGGAAATAAGCGTTACCTTGTATATGTATATACTAATGGCCTGGTACACAAAATTTTGCACAGGGGGTGGAGGGACTGGCGGGGTGATCAGGCTAATGGAGAGGGAAAGTGAGGATGAGCAGGGCAGCAGGGGGAGGCAGCTAGCAGTGAGCAGATGGCATGGGAACAGTTGGGGGAGATCAGGCAGGCGGGTGGCATTCCTAAACCCTCTCCAATCTGGGATCCCTCAAAGAATGTCCTGCTGCCGGTTTACAGGGATCGGGCCTAAACCAGCAGTCGGACATCCCTCTCACAATCCGCGACTGCTGGCTCCAGCCACTCACCTGCCTGTCTGCCTGCCTGATTGCCCCTAACCACTCCGCCTGCCGGTCTGCTCTCCCCCAGCTGCCTCCCCCCTCCCCCTTGCCAGCCTGCTTGCCCCCAAATGCTCATGTAAATAATGCAAATACTTGATTTTTGTTTTTATTATAGTGTATGCAGGATATGGGAAATACTAAAGCAAGACTACTCTATGAAGCCAATCTTCCAGAGAACTTTCGAAGACCACAGACAGATCAGTATCCTTTAATACTTATTTACTGTGGGTTTGTAAAGAATGAACTCATTTTTATAGTTCATATTTTAACTGTGCTTAGGAAGATGTGGAAAGATGTGAATTTTATCATACTGTTGCTCATTAAAGGCTGTGCTTTGTATATAGTAAATTTTTGTTAGGAATCTGGTAGTATATGATCTATGTAGTATTTTTTATGTAATTATTACTAAGTATAAAATATTACACCTATTCTTCTTGATTGATCTCTGTTTCTGTTATTTTTCATTAAAATTTTATTTACTTATTTATTCTGAGGGTTGGAGAGGAAGAAGGATTGATTTGTTCCACTTATTTAAATGGTTGCTTCTTGTATTTACCCTGACTGGAGATCAAACTGTACTATACCTTGGCATATTGGACCAATGTTCTAACCAACAGAGCTTCTCGGCCTGGGCTGTGATTTCCACATCTTAGTTGGAGAGTTTATTTTAGACTGTTGATTAGAGATTAATTTGTGTATATCATGAATATTTTAAAAAATCTTTTCCAAAGGGATTTTCTTTGATCACCTTTATATTATAATTATATTTCTGTGAAGTAGTTTGGCATGTATACATTTAAATGGCAAATTACATATTTAGTGTAAGTGGAGTACTGAAGTAATTTATGCTAATATTCACTACTAATATTCCATATTTGCATAAGTTGAACAACTGTTTACAGATCTGTTCTAATGAATGAATAGAATATCTTCTCACGGGCATTTTAATTAGGATGTTTTCACATTTCCTAAAGACAAATATTTGATTCTGTAGGATTTCTTAAACTCATATTGAAGTTTGAGTAAACAGCTTATCAAAATTGTGCTGCTCTATGAATAATAATATCTAATTCATTGTAGGTATTTGTGATTCTATCCATAGGTGACATTTGCAGTTTTGACAGTAAAATGTAAAGGTTTCTTAAAAATCAGTTATATATTAGTTATATATTATCCACTTGTGTACCAAAACAGTTTGAATGGTCAAACAGTGAAAAAAAGATGATCTTTTCACACATGAGCTACAGGTCATATATTTTCATATTTATGTAGAAATCTTTTAAGTTATATTTAGAAAATTAGTATTTGTATTTGACTTTCTGTTTCTGCTTCTCCACCTCCTTCCACAAATTTAGCAATGTGATATCCAAGGCTATTTTTATTATAGCAAGATCGTAGGGTAAGAATGGGAGGTACATTTCAGACATACAAATTGTATGATAAGTATTAAAGTGTGAAGAAACATAACATTTTAAGGTTTTGATGTGATAAGATTTGTGGGTTAAGTGGCAGTAGAAGCTTATTTTACAAATTATGAAGAATTTTTAATACTATGTAGAGCAGTTTAGACCTCATTTCATGTTCCTAAAGGCTTGAAGGATTTGAAAAACCTCCAGGGGTTTTGAAGCAGGAGAAACATTGTAAAACATTAACTCCTCCACAAGGAAGATTAGTTGAAGGGGATCTTGGGGTCAGAGAGACCATATAGATACTTAGTATAGCCTTGAAGTGAGTAATAAGATATAAATTAAATAATGACATTGAAAATGGAGAGCAGACAATTGGGAAAATAAGAAAGAACTTTAGGAAAGTAGAAGCAGTTGGGTTAGGTTTAGATTGGCTTTGTTTCTGAGAAAAATACCGAGATGACCCTAGATATTCTAGCTTGGCTGAGGTTCTGTGAAATTCAGTGGAGAGAAGGAATTCAGTACCAATGAAAGTTGAAGGGTTAGAATGAAAGATAATGAGCCATGCTTTATTACTTTGGGCAGGTTGAGGTGTGTGTTGGACACATACTTAGAGATACCCATTTAGTAACTGGAAACATTAGTCTGCACCCTAGAAGAAAGAAGTATGCTTATTTGATTTTTCAAATTAAATGTGACTATTTCTAAAGCACTTACAAATTATGGTAATATTTATATGAGGTATTGAACTCTTATTGTTCACAATAAGTATGTTCTTTTTTTCTCTTCCCATTTGTGGAGATAAAAGTCTCTACAATGAAAATTGCTCAATTCATCCACAAAGGGCTTTTTTGATAGTTTCATTTTTTTTTGTTAGAAAAATATAATATGAATTTAGATTTATAATTATGAGCAAATTAACATTTAGCTTATTTACATGTAAAATAATTTATGTAAACATTGCACACTTATGAATCTTGGCACACTTGTTAATTTTTGGTATAAAATTGGCTGCCAAAATCTAAATTAGCAGCCTTTTAGCAACCCCATCACTTTGCACTTGAAAGGGTCGCCAAGGCTACTTTGAAAATAAAGGCGCCTTCCAAATTTGACATTCTTCTTAAGATTTTAAAGCATGTATTATCATTACCAGAAATTAATGGATTGATTCACAAATGAACTTGTGTTGAACAATAACATTCTGAAAAGGTAGATATCAGACATTTGTAGTTTTGAATCACAACTCTCCTTTGTACTGTATTAGTAGAATCCCAGAAAACTTCTAAAACTTTCTGTTCCCCAGTTTTAAATGTAAATGGCACTTACTTTACAGGTTAAGAGGAGAGAAAAAAGATAATGTAAAGTACCTTTGACATAGGATGTAGAACACTATCTTTAAAAATCAGCTTCAGTTATTTCACTTATTTTAATAAATTGAATGTTTAGATTTTCTGTCTTACCACTATAAAAGGCCTTTGAATGCTTTCATAATGCCTCTTTTATATTCACTGAGTAATTGTCTGTCAACTTTTCCTATTATCTATTGCCTCAACTGTCAATTTTTAAAAGGCTTTTGTTAACTTCTAATATGGAGTTACTGACTGAAAAATTTATTGTTTTACTGTTTTAGGTAACTTTTCTTTTGAACAGAAGAGTGTCTTAATCTGGGGATCCACAGATTGTATTTCAGAGTAATTCTTTTTCTTCATAAGTCTGTGTATTTTATTTTATGCATTAAGAATCACTATTCCAGAAAGGAGTCCACAGTTTTTACCTGTGAGGTTCATGGTACTAAAAATGTTAAGAATGCTTGATCGAAGAATTTCCATTTAATGATAAAGCAGTAATTGAGTGGAAAGAGAAGTCATCTATATCAGATAACCCCCAATTCTCAAATCCCACTAGAAGTGGCTCACTCCATCAATAGGAAAGGCTAATTTAGCCACCTTCAGAAACATTAAGTAGCAGTAATCTTGGCTTTAGCTTCTTGATTTCTTCCCCATTTCTCAGATTTGGGGGAGAAAAAAAATTGCCATCACTCAGAGGCAGCATGAATATTGGGAAAAAATATAAGTATTATAATCTCAATCGTTTGATATTTCCAAGTTCCTGATTCTTTATCTATGATGTGAAAATAATAATATACACAATACTGGACTGTGGAAGGATTAAAGGAAAGAAACTATGGACAACACGCAATGTCTGGTATACTGTGGGTACTGTATGGGTATTTGTTTCTTTATACTGAAAATCCAAAATGTACCTTAATTGAGTTTAGAGTTTGGGGAAGATGGAGTTGAGCTTAAGAATGTCATGGAATTGAGAAATAGTTACTTTCCTTTCCAGAATTGCGTTGAGTGGTTTTGTTGGTTGGGGGAAATTTCCTGAAAGAGACCAACTTTTTTGGTAGTAAGAAAAGTAGATTATAGAATTTAGTTATAGAAATAGTATGAGAGGAAAACATAGACTGCGAAGTAGGAAAAATGAATTTAGAATTTAAACTTTGTGGAGAGGAATGAATCAAGGGATGTGTACATGCCACTGAGCTCACGCTTTTCCTTAAGTTATTTGTTTTCAGAGCAGTGGAATTTTTCATCAGAGATAAATATGAAAAGAAGAAATACTATGATAAAAATGCTTTAGCTGTTACAAATGTAAGTAAAATCTTCATATGTCATTAATTTAAGTTTGTTCAATAGATCTTGAATGTTAACATATAATACCACTCTATTTATTGTAAAAATATACTAGTCATATACTTTGTCAAATTTGTATATTGGAATTTTTTGTCAAATATGTTAATGAGCTCTTCTGGAGCAGAACTCTTGATTTAGAAAGGAGCATATTCTAAGAGTCTAATAACTGCCTTAAATGGCATTTAATTAAGTTAATTTTATGGAATTTACAAAAAAGATAAAGCCAATAATTGAATAAAGGGGGAGAGGAAATTATTTTACTACATTCTGGAAATTTGTGTAAAATGTAAAGGCCAATTTATCCTATCCTAAAAGCTTTAGTGGACCTGTTAATTGGTTATTATTAAGCCTTCTGATAACTAATAGTTGAACCTTACAATAGTGATCAAATATGATTTATCACTGTTTTTTTAAATGTTTTTTTTTTTTCCTGATTATATTTTCCCATTCCAGTTAGTTATAATTTAAGACAAGTTGTCTTTATTGATGTGATGACTTTTTTGGCCTTTGATATTTAGATTAATAAGCAAGTTATAAGTTAGTTAATCTTGTGGTTAAGTCTTGCAAGCAATTTAGAGACAATGATTTTATCTCATTTATATGCAAACTGGGTTTTTCTTTTCAGGCCATAAGGAGAAGCAATATACTAAAATATTTAATAAAAGTACTAACAAAGTAAGGATATTTTAATATATTGTCTTTGACCATGAAAAATCTTGTTAAAAAAATGTTCTAACATATTGTTAGTGTGTATTTTTGAGCAAAAATGCCCTGTTTGTAGAGTTTGAACTGCATTTACAATGAATGTAGGAGGAGAAATCTTTTGAAAAACTGACAAAAATTGACAATATTGAGAATGACATTTATAATGCGATAACTAAGTTTAGTTATCGCATTATGGGGAAAAGAGGACTAACTTTTAAGCAAGTAACATGTCTTTGAGTGAAATTTTAAGAAATTCTTTTAACATGTTTTATAAAATACTAGAGGCCTGGTGCACGAAATTTGTGCACTTGGTGGGAGGGTCCCTCACATCGGCCTGTGCCCTCTCGCAGTCCAGGAGCCCTCAGGGGATGTCTGACTGCCATAGAGGTGGGAGAGGCTCCTGCCACTGCCGCTGGCTGAGCGGCGTTCCCCCTGTGGGAGTGCACTGACCACCAGGGGGCAGCTCCTGCATTGAGCATCTGCCCCCTGGTGCTCAGTGCACGTCATTGCAACCAGTCATTCTGCCTTCGGTTGATTTGCATATTAGCCTTTTATTATATAGGATACTGCTTTATATTAAACATTCTTTGTAATGTTCTAAACTTTAAAAAAGTTTATTGGAATGACAGTTAATAAAATTATATGTTTCATGTGTACAATTCTATAATACATCATCTGTGCAGTGTATTGTGTCTGTATTGTTCACTATCCCAAGTCAAGTCTGTTTTTATCACCTTTTATCTTCCCTATGCCCTCTTCTACTTCCTCCCATCCCTTAAACTTTTAAATTAAATCTATACTTATTTTTTCTTCATGAGAACAATTTAGAAATTACTTTTATGTATTATAGTAATGCATATGAAAATAGTTTTACCTTTAAATTATAGCTGTTATAGAATTGTGTCTCCCCCCTTCCAGATATGACAATGGTATAATACTTAGTTAAGAGGAATTCTTCATCATAAAGGATATATTTTGAAATAAAATGTTTAGGGATCAAGTGTCATGATATCTATAACTCATTTTTATTTTTTCTATTCAGAATATTGATATAGCAATTAATTATACAAACACATCTAAAAATAACCTAACATAAATTCTATCAATGATGAAATACTGTTTTCTCTCACTGTCATCTATTCTATCCTATATAATAAAAGCCTAATATGCAAAATGTCTGCTCGTCCATTCAACCAATCAAAGCGTAATATGCTATGAAAGCTAAGGCTGCTCAACCACTTGCTATGATGTGCACTGACCACCAAGGGGGCAGACAGTCAACTGGTCGACCATTCGCTATGATGTTCACTGACCACCAGGGAGCAGACAGTTGACTGGTAGGTTAGCTTGCTGCTAGGGTCTGGCCTATTGGGATTGAGATGGGCTAAACATGCCCTGGAGCCCTCCTGTGGTTTCTCCCCACTGGCCAACATACTGCATCCCTTCCCAGCCCCAATTGTGCACCATGGGGTCCCTCGGCCTGGCCTGCACCCTCTTGAATTTGGCCCGACAGCGGAATGACCAGTCGCTATGATGTGCACTGACCACCAGGGGGCAGACGCTCAACACAAGAGCTCCCCTCTGGTGGTCAGTGCACTCCCACAGGGGAAGCACCGCTCAGCCAGAAGCTAGGTTAACGGTGAGTGCAGCAGTGGTGGCAGGAGCCTTTCCCACCTCCATGGCATCCCTAAGGATGTCCAACTGCTGGCTCAGGTCCACTCCCTTAACTGTCAGTCATACATCCCCCGAGGGCTCCCGGAATGCGAGAAGGCACAGGTTGGGCTGAGGGGAACCACCCTCCTGACCCAGTGCACTAATTTTGTACACTAGGCCTCTAGTATTTAATAATATGCCACAGAACATAAGCAAATATTTTCATTTGATGTTGAAAAAAATTTGTGATATCAGCAGTCAGCAAAATAACACCAAATTTATACGTGAAGAGCACATCATAAGAGATTTTGTGCACCAGGCCGTTAGTATTGCAATGATTATTTAAAGTCTGAACATGTATCTTCAACATCAGTGGCTGTCATTACTAGAGACATTTTTGAGTTATCTAACTCAATGTTTTTAATTTAAAAAGTTTTAGATATAGTTTATACGATATTATTCATTTCAGGTGTACTAGTATATCATAGTGATTAGATATTTACATATCATAAGCGATTACCCCAATAAGTCAAGAATGCATCTGACACCATGCATAGTTACTGCAGTGTTGTTGGCTTTATTTCCTATGCTGTACTTGACATCCCTGTGACTTTTTATAACTGGCAATTTGTGCATCTTAGTCTGTTTCCTTTTTTCACTCCTTCCTAAGTTCCCCTCCCATCTGGCAACCATCAAAATGTTCTTTGCATCCAGGTATAACTCATTTTTAATTGGCTCACTGAAGTCTAGCAGCTGAGAGAGAGAGCTGGAGGAGGGGGGCAGTCGACAAACATGGTACACTGTTTTGGTGAATATTAGTGAAGTTCGTAGAGATGTTATTCTGTGGTTTTTTTTTTTTTTTTTTTTTTTTTACATTTTTTTATTGTTTTGAAAATAAAATTCAAGGTAGAAGATTTTATACTCGAGTTTATATTATTTTTTTAATTTATTGTTAAAAGTATTACAGATGTCCACTTTGTTTTTTCCCCTCCCATTGACCCGCATGCGTACCTGTCCCTGCCAAGCCTTTGCCACGCTATTATCTGTGTCCATGAGCTATGCATATATGCATATAAATTCCCTGCGTAATCTCTTCCCTCACCCCATTGCCCCCCTCCCTTTTTTCTGAAATTCATCAGTCTGTTCATGGTTCTATGTCTCTGGATCTATTTTGTTCATTAGTTTAAATTTTGGACCTGGAGAGTATTATGCTAAGGAAATAAGCCAATCAGAGAAAGATAAGTATCACATGATCTCACTCATATGTGGAATCAAATGAACAAAATAAATTGAGTTTATATTATTAATGTAATGAAAATTCAGAAGAGTTCACAAGAATCATGTTTAATCCAAGATACAATGTATTATACCTCATCATTAATAAGCAAGGTAATGATTTTTTAGGTTTATATTCTAGTAAGATTAAATTATTTCTTCCTCTTTCATGGCAATAGATTTGCAAGTAATTAATCTTATATATTACTAGGAATTACATTATATAGTTATATCCAGTGTTATTTCTTCAGTAATAAATTGTATATTAATTTAAATAATTTTTGATTATGTATAATCTTCACTATTTTCCCTCCCTCCCTTTTGAGATCTGTGGTAGGGTTTTATTTTGATACTAGATATGAGATGACAGAGATTGGTTATTGAAGTTTCCTTGGATTATACCTTCCCTTTTTTGTTCAGGTAGTTATAAACAACAAACATTATTGAATGTATACCATCTGCAAAGCACTGAGATTCAAATGGTATAATCTTTGTCCAAAAGTAGCTCACCCTCAAACATTATCAACTTGTTACATGTACAATGACCAGAATGTGGTAACTGTTGTGACAGAAGAATAAAAGTGCTGTGGGAACACAGAGTTTAGGTAGCACTAATTTCCACTAGAAGACTTTTTAAAGGAGGAATGTTTATAAGAAAGTAAGATTTCAGAGAAAATAGGATGAGTGTTAATAATGTAGGAAGGACATTTCTGGCTGAGGGGACATATTATCCCATCTATGCTAAAATTACATGAAGAGGAAAGCGAGTTCAGGTATATTATTTGGTATTTGGGTTTGGTGAATAGTCTATGAAACTGTCTTGTCTAGTGAGTGTGAAGGAGGGCTATCTGGAGTGGGTAGATGATGAGAGAATAAATGCATCAGGAAATAAGTCTTGAAAGGCAAGTAGAGATTGTATAGAGGATTTGAATACTAGACTACTCAGGATGTGTGTGTTTTTTAAAGTTTTTATTATGGAATAGTTATTGGATTAATTTTATTTTGCCACTTAATAAATTGCCGGAAACTTAGTGACTTAACACAGATGCACCATCTTACAGGTTCTAATAGTCAGTCTGGGCATGGTTTAGCTGTGTTCTCAGCTCTGGATATCTCCAGACTGAAATCAAAGAGTTGGCTGGGATGTAATCTTGTCTGTTTTTTAAAAAAATCATAAACATTTATTCACTCAAAGTAAGATGATCAGCATTGACTGGCTGCCTACACCAGCTGGGCTACAATGAATAATCTTGAATTAATAACACTCGGCATACTAAATGCTCCTGTTCCGTGTGTGTGTGTGTGTGTGTGTGTGTGTGTGTGTGTGTGTGTGTTTTGTCACCTGTGTCCTTGACCAGAATTAAAACCATGACCCTTCAGTCTGTAAGCCGATGCTCTAACCACTGAGCAAACTGCTAGGGCCTTCTTTTATATTTTTATATTCAGCCTTACATGAGTTGGGGCAAAAAGGTACTTTTTTGGTTATTAATCCTCACCTGAGGACATTTTGTCCATTGACTTTTACTTTAGAGTGGAAGGGAGGTTGGGGGGAGGGAGGGAGGGAGGGAGGGAGGAAGAGAGAGAGAGAGAGAGAGAGAGAGAGAGAGAGAGAGAGAGAGAGAGAGAGAGAGAGAGGCAGGCAGGCATTAGTGTGAGACAAGCACATTGATTGGTTGCCTCCTGCATGTGCCCCCACTTGGCTGGGGATCGTACCTGCAATCCTTGACTGGGAATTGAACCTCAGACCCTTCAGTGTGCTTCTAACCTATAACCGATGAGCTACTCCAGCCAGGGCATAGATTATCATCTTACGTGTTTTTATGTGCTTTATCTTGTTTTCTGCATAAAGTAGCAATTAAAGATTTCTTGCAAATAAATTTCCAGTGGGAAAACTAGCTTTGAAGCCATCTTTTAAGATGCTGTTTGATTTCATAAATATTTTCTTCTATATGTAATTTCCATTAGTAGTCACTAAATGTCTGGTTTGCACAATTATAACAATGTGCAAGGAAAAAATAACCCTGAAGTTCATGAACTAGGATTATGATTCAGGAATTGCAGCCATAACCAACTTAAGCATATTGAAAAAGGAGGATTTGTCATCTCACAATGTTATTTTGACATATAATGATCTTTCTGTAGTGGTACCTTTAGTTTTTAAATTCCTCATAGGCACTATTGATATGATTGGGTAATAGAGAGAAGTCAGTTTTATGGCTTCAAAGGCCTACATATTTTGTAAGTGTATTTCTGTTATATTTTGGCAGTAAAGAGACCAGGAAGATAATCTTTCCATTAAAGTGATCAACTACATATATAGAAATTCAGTAGGAACATGTGTGAGAAGGCTTTTAGTCGAAGTCCTTTTTCACGTATAAATACCTCTGCTGCATATATAACTGTCTCATAATGCTCTGAGGTAATTCAGCAGGTACAGCTTTGGAAATGGTGTTTGTGTGTGATCTTAAAAAAGGAAGTATATAAAATGCTTTATAATCCATCTGTTGCTTTGCTGATTAAAACTTTAATTTCCCTTACTTCAGATCTTTTATTTTCCATTCTTAAACTGTTACTATAAGTTAAAAACACACACAAACTCATTTGCACCTTCTTGCTACTTGGAACAGTATGTCTTCATACATTAGTATTTCAGTAGTAATATTGACTAAGTGAATCCCGGGCAAAGCTTAATTATTTTGTAAATACTTTCAGTATGACCTGGTTTTAGTAAATTTTATATCCTAGTGAAATCCATTTTTAATCATGCACTATCCTGTAATAAATAATTTATTTTAAGAAATTTTATGTGGAAATTAAAAAAGCAGTACATTCTTCTTGATGCATTATTTCCCTTTGTTAACATACTCCTAAGTACTTCTGTATCTCAGCAATGCATGGATTTTTTTCTTTTTCTTTCCTGTACCTATCATTTCTGATTACCTTCTTTTTGTTTTTTCTCTCCTGACTTTTCATCTGATTCCACAGATTTCTTCCTCTGATGCTCCCCTTCAGCCTTTGGTAGCCTCTCCTTCTCTACAAGCTGCTGCTGAGAAAAGCAAATTGGAGGTATGCTAGTGTTTTAGCCAGCTGCATTATGTAGTGTTCAGTGGTAAATGGACTTCCTTTCTCATTATGCCATACATAATTTGGAGTGTTGTAATAGTTGTTTAAATTTTGTATGGTCTTCAGTATTAAATATGTTAAATACAACTATTTCTAGAATATTTTTCTATGCCACAGGTAGGATTAAAAGGCTTTAATTTATATTTAATTTAAAAATCACTGATTTATTGGTACCATAGGTATATCTCAATATTTAAGAAGGAATTAACTTTTCTGTTGTTTTTATTACTACCTTATACTTAATGTTTTTAATAGTTGCTGTTGAAATATTTGCTCTATTAGTAAAATCTGATTAAAATGTTTTGTTTCTATGATTCTGTTATAATCACTTGAAGACAGCTAATGTTTTTTTAAGGATTAGTAACAGTCATGCATGTAGTATAGAATGTATGTAGAATAGAATCATGAGTTTACAATAATCAATGATAATTTTTAGACTGTTTGGGGTAGCAGTGGTTAAGGGTACATGATGCTACTACCATTATGGATTTTTAAAGCCATCCCTACACATATTTAAGGTTTTAAAAAAACCTTTACCTTTTTCATTTGTTATCATGAATTCATTTGAGACATTGTTTGAACTAATACTTTCCATGTTAATCCCTTGATAAGTGGTGCACTAGACATGGAGGATACACAGGCAAATAAGATATGGCCTCTGTCCTTAAGGAGCTGGTAGTCTAGTGGTGAAAATAGATAAGTAGGTAACTTTACAGGTTTCTAATACAATATAATATGTGCTGTGATTGACATGCATTCATTTATGTGCTGTGATTGATATGCTTCAATTAATACAAGAGTCATACTTTTGATGCATCTTAAACTCTTAATAAACATTAGCTATAAGGATGAGAGTACATTCCAAGTAAAGAAGGCATCTTGTGGGGGGGAAAAATCTGTCAGCAAAGTGGAATGTTTGGGGATTTGCAAATAAAATGACATGGCATAGGATAGGTAATTCAGCAGGCCCTGGCACTTAAATAAGTTCTAAGGGTAAAAGGGATAACAGGATCTGATTTTTATGTCATAATACAGCTCCACTGTTTCTGTGGAGAGTGAATTTTGTGCTGATGGGTGTGGAAAAGGCTGAGAACCTGTTGTTATAACCCATGAATAAAATGATGGGAGCATGTGCTAATTGATGGAATATGGAGGCACTTTGGGAAGATTTGATGACTCCCAATTTCTGTCTTGAGCATTTTAATAGATGATGGATGATAACTGAGTGAGAAAAGGATAGAAGCTGAGGAGGAGTAACAGGTTTGAGGAGAGAAAAGGAAGGGAGATAAATTTGAAGTTGTATCCGTTTGAGTATGAGATGACTGTAGAACATCCAAGTGTTCTAAGTAGTTCTTTCAGTTCAGAGGAAAGAGCCAACTGGGAGGGAAGGAAGGAAAAGCATTTTATGATATACCAGAGGACCAGTGCATGGATTCGTGCACTGGTGGATTCTCTCTGCCTGGCCTGTGTCTTCTGGCAATCTGGGACCCCTTGAGGGATGTTGGACTGCTGGTTTTGGCCTGATCCCTGCGGGGTCAAACGGTCCCTTAAGCTTTTGTATGTATAGATAAATTTTTTTTTTGCATATTTCATTTATTCTTCACTTAGAAAGTGGGGATACTATTGTTTGCCTCATAAAGTTACAATTAAGTGAGTCAAAGCAGTGTTTAGCACATGGTAAGGGATCAGTAAGTATTGGCTGTTATAAGCAAGAACGATACCAAATAATAATGCTCCACTGGATGACACTGAGTAGTGAGACTTGAGAGTTTGGTCTCTGTTGTCCCATGACCCTACCATTGATTAGCTGTGTTGTTTTGTGCCTTAATTTTCTAAGATTTTGTTTCTTCGTTTGTAAAACAACAATGACAGTTTTTCCAGACAAATTTTTAATTATAAAAATTAAATTATAAAATAAGGTGCTTATTACATTGGCTGGTTCATGGGAACATTTATTATATCTCTTTTGTTATAGCCTAGTAATTGCCAGTATAACTTTTCTGATTTACAAGTAGCAAACATTCTTTTGTTGAAAGCGGTTGTGTCAAAACACCGTTTTAAAGGCATAGGTGCAAACTCAACCTTTAGGCATTTAGATTAACCTTTGTGTGATTATTATTCTGTCTTTCCTAGGTTCATCAGTTTATATTTTTGTGTTTACTACCAGGAAACTAAGGTCAGATCAGTACCCAGTTGCAGTAGTCATTCAATTCTAGGTTTCTACACATCTCTCCTCTGTAATGCCTATGAATAATGCTCTTTGTTTAATCTTTATTTTATTTTTTTTTAGGATTTTTTGAATTAAATGTATTGGGCTGACATTGGTTAATAAAATTACATAGATATCAAGTGTACAATTTTATGATACATCATCTGCATATTGTAACGCGTGTCCACCTTCCAAAGTTAAATCTACCATTTTCATATATTTAACTCCCATAAATATATCCTTTTTACTCCCCAACCCCTTTCCCTCCAGTGACCAACATACTGTTGTTTGTGTCCATGAGTTTTTGTTTATTTTGTTTATTTGTTGCTTTTAGTTTTATATCCCACATATGAGTGAAAGCATATGGTTTTTAACTTCATTATTTGTTTCACTTAACATGATCTTCTCAACATTTATCCATGTTAATTTTTATTTCATTTTCCTCTTTTTGGCATGTTTGTGGTTCTTAAGTTTTTAATATTATATCCTGTTTCATTCTTCTTGAAATTGCAAATTGTGAACATCATGATACCATTATAGTTTACCTTGACTGTTGGAATACACTAGTAAGTTGGCTCTGGTCCCAAAATATTTTATCTATATTTACCTTTTTTTTTTCCCCATGAGAAAATACTTGTATTTGCCATTTAAAAAATTACAATACTGTAGTGATAGACTAAAAATGTTTTGTGACATCTTAAAAAAATCAAGTGATTGTATTGTATCTTTCTCCTTTATATTTACATGTTATATCTGTTTTTATCTGTGTGATAGGAATTATATTCATCAGTTAGTTTATTTTTTCTTCTTATTCAAATTTGAACTTTATGTTTGCTATTAGGAAGCTTATGTAAAGATGCAGTGAGACTTTATTGAATAGAAGACTCAATTGTTTAATTACACAAATTCTAACATATCAAGTTTTAAATGTCTCACCTCCATTGTAGTTTTTTTTTTTTTAAAGAAATATATATATTTTTATTGATTTCAGAGAGGAAGAGAAAGGGAGAGAGAGAAACATCAATATGAGAGAGAATCATTGATTGGCTGCCTCTTGCATACCCCCTGTTGGAGATTGAATCCACAACCAGGGCATGTGCCTTGATCAGAATTGAATGTTGACCTCTTGGTTCATAGGATAATGCTCAACTACTGAGCAATACTGGCTGGGCAAGAAATGATATTCTTAAAAAAACTTTTTTTATTGATCTGAGAGAGAGACATTGACTTATTGTTCCACTAATTTATGCATTCATTGGTTGCTTCTTGTATGTACCCTGACCACAGATTGGACCTGCAACCTTCGGTGTTGGGATGACACTCAAACCAACTGAGCTAACTCTGAGGGCCAAGAAAAGATGTTCTTTATTGTGTTATCAATATATAACCTCATTGAGAATATGAATTTGCTGTTTACTTTTATATTTCAGTATCACCAGATATTGTCATCATTGAAAATTTGTACCTTTCTCAAATGACAACTCAAACTAATAAAATGTGTTAAGAGCTGACATTTTAAAAAAAGTAAACTTAGCAAAACTTTGGGCTGTGTTTTAGAAAGAAAAGGAAAAAAAAAAAGAAGAGAAAAAAAGAGAAAAGGAACCAGAAAAGCCTACAAAACCTCTTACAACTGAAAAGGTAAAATTTCCTTTTTTTTAAAAAAAATCTATAAGGACTACTATCTTATTTGCATACTTACATGTGAACTAGAGGCCCAGTGCACAAATTTGTGCACAGGTGGGATCCTTTGGCCTGACCAGTGATTGGGGCTGATCGGGCCATCTTATCCAGTCTCAGTTGGGGCTGATCAGGGCTGGCTGGCCAAGGGGAGGGACTGCTGGAGGTTGGCTGGCCATAGGAGGTTGGTTGTGGGAATGGATGACCTGCATTGAGCAGATGCCCCTTGGTGGTCAGTGTGTGTCATAGCTACCAGCTGGTCATCTGGTTGTCTGGTGGTAATGGCTGCTTAGACTTTTAGATAGATAGGTAGGTAGGTAGGTAGGTAGATAGATAGATAGATAGATAGATAGATGAGTTTTGGGATATTCACACTATGCAAATAATAATTCTTTAAACTCGTATTTGTTGAGTGATTACTGTGTGCTAAGTATGTCCTATTGATAGCTTGTTCTATATGATTTGTAGTCAGTTATATATGTGTGGGTGTAGATAATGTGAGTTCTCAAGGCAAGTATTCTCTTATTAATGACATAAAGAATGGCATTTTGGCTTACTGGTATATGCTCAGACTTCACTAATGTTTAAAGAATGAAAAAGATCCAACATACCTGAAAGAGCCTTCAGAAAATACCCCATGCTTAAGGTTAGCATTTGAACTAGATTTTGAAGTGTATGTAGATAAGATGGAAGGCAGGAATATATCATTTGGACCGGACACCTTGAAGGATAGGCATGGAAACTGGAAACGGACAAAGTAACTATGCTCAGGAAAGAAAAGAGGATTAGAAGAGTTTGAAGATATATATATATAGAAAGTAGTGAAAAAAGATCTTAAAGTCGAGTTGATTTTTTATTGGAGGATAGATTGTTTATAAATAATTATGGCTGCTTGCCTTTGAATGCATTTCATCATAGAACTATGGAAACTTGGTAGAGGGATTGTCAGTAGAGGGAGCATTTTTTATTTTCTTGTTAAAATTTTAAAAATTGGCTTTATGAAGGTATAAATTACATACTACAAAGTATACAGTGTGAATAGTTACTGGTTCTTTCTCTGTAATTTCTTAGAGTCTCTGCATTCAAAAAGTTATAAGCAAACCTTTAGCAAGTTAAGATGTATTAAGCATCCAAGGACTCCTCAATTCTTCATGTAGCAATCAGTTCCATCCACCATCTGATTCTTCACCTGTCTTCCTAGCAGTCTCCCTCCATTTTTCATACAGCCAGGCTTGTCCATTGTTACCTAAACAAACTTTGCTTCTTTAAATTGGTTTTCCAAAAATGTCCTTTCCTCTCCTCACCTCTTACCTAAAGCTTATTGTTGTTTCCATGCAGTCCTCTACCATCCCAGCTAGATACGTTTTCTCCCTTCCTCAAAATTCTGCTATTTCCTTCAAGTACTTAGGTTTTTATTAAATCAAGGTCATGCCTCATCTGTAATGCTTCTTCAACCTGCAGAGGTTGAGGACTCCTGCTGCCCATGGTAGGAGCCTGTGAGAGAATACTCACATACAGGAAAAAACTTTAGTCCCTATCAAAGTTTTGTGGTCGAGATAGTGCACAGTGTGTAAAAAGAAAGACATTTAAAATTATAATGGGAAATTGAAAGGAAAATAGCACAAATAAAGAAGTTTTACCTTAGATATAGGCATTTTTTGATATGGTATGAGCTGATTTTTTTGAGGGTGTATATAATCTACAGAGGAGAAACTAGTATTAATATCAGTGAAAATACAGGGTGGGGCAAAGTAGGTTTATAGTTGTGAGTACATGAAACAGTTTATTCTTGTATTATTTTTTAATTATTGTATTATTTTGCATATGAACAACTGTAAACTTACTGTCCCACCTTGTAGTAGCAGTAGTAGCCAGAATAATATTATCATAAATAATAGTTGGCTTTATTGGTTATCTCCTTATACCAGGAGCTATGCCACATGTGCAATTTTTATGTATAGTTGTATATGTACAACTTATATATAAAGTGACTACCCATGTATCTACTGCCTAAAATAGGAAATAGAACATGGGCAACCCCTGAGAAGCTGTCTCCCATAACTCTTTGCAATTAAAAAAAAAAAATTACTTCCCTTCTTCCCAGAGATAATCATTTCCTTGCATTGTAGAAGTAGTTTCATCTTCACTGCATGTGTTTCTAAGTAATGTGATTTGTTTTTCTCTATTTTTTGAATGTATGAGTGGAATAATGCCATAAATATTCTTGCTTTTTTTTTTTTATTAGTCAAGCTTTTTTTTTTTGTAAGGGTTAATTGTATTGTGTATAATAACAGTTTATTCAGTTAATTGGCCTTCACTCCAGAATCACTGATTTAAATTCTACATCCATGAAACTGGGTCTTGACAGAAGAACAAAAGTGTGTCTGCTGCATGACTCACTGGAGAGCACCAGTCAGAGAAAGGCTTCTCTTGGGTATGGACACAAATCCTTTTCTCAGCAGTTTTATTCAGACGCTGAAAGGAAATGATATAGTTATGTATATGGAAAAAAAAAAAGTTTGTGATAATGCCATTAAGTGGGAGGTAAAATATAAGGTCAGTTAAAACCGAAATCAGCCATTTCCTTATTAGAAATGAGCTAAAGTAAAATTTATCTTGTAAAATCACAATTCTTTTCATCTAATTCCTCTTTGATTAGAAACACTTGCATTTGGAGGCAAACTAGAACAGAGTATTTGAATAAAAATTTGGTTAGAATCATAGCCTTGAGCCACAGAAAGCATTGGCCCTATAACTTTATAATAAACTTTAGCCATAAACTTTATTATCTTTTGGAGTACCACTTTTGTGGTACTTAAAATTATTTGTTTAGATTACTGCATTTATTTGAAAATATTGCAGTGCCAAAAAAAACTAGATGCAGAAAGTAAAGGATCCCAAATTCATTAAAATTTAGCAGGACCTGAACACTGGGAAAAATAAAAAGATATTAGTAAGTCTAATTGCTTATACCGTGTTTCCCCGAAAGTAAGACATACTCCGAAAATAAGACCTAGCGCATGGAAAGATAAGACATCCCCTGAAAATAAGACCTAGCGCAACTTTGAGAGAAAAAATTAATATACCCAAGACACTGTCTTATTTTGGGGGAAACGGGTAATAAAGTAGAAGTGGCTAATCCCTCCATAGTCTGGCCATTACCTGTTTTCATGTCTTGTTTTAGTTAATACTTTCCCTAATCTATATAATTTCCAGGAAACTGAGTAGATATTTTCTTCTGAACATTCTATTACCATGTTATTAAGTACATGAAGTATGGCATATATTTTGGCTACATTTTAGCTGAATTTCTACTTATCTGGATTATAATCTTTTTCCTTCTAGTCATGCTATTTCAAAAATTATTTTTTAATGTAACATTTATACTTTTAAAACATGGTACTGATTTATTTTACCTCTATCCACTGAGCCAAACCAGTTTCGGCGAAACTAAGATTTTTATTAATTGGTGCTAATTTAGTATACAAAATATCCTGGCAATTGAGGTTATCTTTAAATGAGTAAATAATTTAAATAGCTTGAAACAGTTGTGACTACAACATGAAAGTTCTTTCAGCCAAGACAGTTTGCTTTTTTTTCTCATTGTTTTACCTAGTTTAAAAAAGAATTGAGTAGCTAAAATAAGAATTATTGTTTTACAGAAATCAATAACAAGATGATATTAACCTTACTTATTAGTTAAATAACTATATACTAAAATGCCCTCAACCCTAAAAGAAAAAGGAACCAGTTGAAGTTATAATAGCTTTTTAATACTTGTCCATTATTAAAGTAAATTGTGGTAATAAAGAATGTGTAAGTTGTGCCAGAAAACTATATTTCAAGTTCTATTACAGGCTTGTAGTAAATTGCAACATTTTTTTCTGTCATGGAATTTCTAAATGTTTTTGCAATCACTTAAAGCATTATTGCCAGTGAGGCAATAAAAAGAAAAGAAATCCAATTACTTCATGTGCAAAGCTTTCATTTCCTATTTAATGAAAAAAAAAAGGAAGACTTTTGTTCAGTAAGCATGCAAGCTTTATAGTCCCTCACAGTAGATTAGAAATTTCCTTTAATAGAAAATAAGAAAACTATGTCCTCAATAAATGCTCTGATGAAAGGTAGTTTTATTAAGTTAAAGCAAAGAATGTTGCAGCCAAGCCCTGGCTAGCGTTGCTCAGTGAATAAAGCTTCAACCCAACTGAAATGTTGAGGGTTGGATTCCTGGTCAGGGGTCAGTGGCACATACCTCCTGGGTTGCAGGTTCCATCCCCTGTGTATGTGTGTGGGGTTATATGGGAGGCAATCAAGATGTGCTCTCTCTCACTTCTCTTTCTCTGCCCCCCCCCCCTTCCCTCTTTCTCCCTTCCTCCCTTACTCATTTTCACTTTCTCTAAATATCAATGGAAAAATATCCTCCAGTGAGGACCAATAAACAATAAGATTGTTGCAGCCAAGTTGGAAAGGGTCAACAATTAGATTTGATGGGTCATTGAAAGTAATAAAAAGAGTTTAGAGCTTACTTATGCTTAATATATACCAGCCATTATTTTAAACCCTTTATGTAGGGTGTTTCCAAAAACACACTTTGAATACCATTATTTATTCTAGTGGGTTACATCTGAAAAGAAAGAAATATCAGTTGCGCTATCAGCTGTTAAAGTGTGTGTACATTTTTGAGGACAGCCGTATATATATATTATATATATCCATGAGGTTAATACTGTCATCCTCATTTACTGCTGAGAACCTGAGAGACACAGGTTTGGTAATTTATTCATGGTCACACAGCTATTGAGTAGCCAAGCCAAGATTTGAATCTGAACATTCTGCCTTCAGAGGGTATGCACTTAACCAATATACTCTATGGCCTCTTGATATACTACTATTACAGGCAAAGTGGAGAAAGAAAGAAGGGAGAAAAGTCAAGCGATTAAATAACTACTAAGTGCCATGAA